GCCACTCGCGACCGCCCAGGCCACCGCGACCCCCGAGGCCGCGCAAGAAGTCTTCCCTCGCGGCCGCCAACCAGAAGGAGCCACCTTTCGAGGAGGACATTATCGACGGATTCGCCATCCTCGCCTTCCGCTCCTACGAGGAACTCGAGGTGAGCGACGGACCGAACGTCCGTTTACCTATTTACTTTCTTTCTTTTTCTTTCTTTCTCTCGCTCGAACGAGATCCGCGCGATTGGATCTGTATAGAGGTCATCTATATCAGGTGGAGTGGTTGTGGGGAATGGAAAGGATAATCGGAACATATTCGTCGTCTTCGGATGTGTACTCGCCATAACCTAAAAGTATAACCCTAGAGATAACCTACAAATCCTCCCTACTCGGCTCTCTTGTTTGTCTTTCGATCCTTTACCAAATTCGGTTCTTCTTTCGGATTTTCGGAAACGGATTTTCTGCGAGTCACGTATCCGAGGATTATATTCAGAAATAGAAAGTTGGAAATACATGTATATGAACTCGACAAAGAGAGAAAAGAGAGAAAGAGAGAGTCTGTGCTACTCGAGGAGACCAACAGGATATCGGATTATTCAATCGATTCGTAATGCTGAATACGTAATGCTTCGACTGTTTAAACAATTAGGATAGAAAGAAGTTCAAGGGATTATATCGTTCATTTTTTTTTTATTTGCAAAGTCATACAATTGCCCATCTTTGTCTCTCATCGATTGCCTCTATCGAAATTAAAGATTTTCTACCTCTCAAAGTGACAGTAACCATTTGAATTATACGATCGTTGACAAATAGTCTCTTGGTTTATCTTGCCTCATTAATCATTCCAGATCTACTGTGCATTTGTGTGCATACTGTCATTGTAGCAAAATATGGGGGAGTATATTTCAGAAATATTTACAAAATACGCTTGAATCGCTATTAAATATCAATCAAGAAATCCATTTTAGAATTATCTCTTTTACTTGCAATTAAAGAAAAATGCATATAAAGATAATCGGGGAAATTCGAATTTTACGTTTTCACTTGGAACAAAATGAAAACAGTTAAGTCAAAGACCGGCAATAGAAACAGCAAATAAGATTTCAATCTATTGAAAACTTTGTATTCTGTGATACACAATTTCTGGATAGGTTGAAATCTGTTATTCTCTGCTTCTATTGCCTGTGCTTTTCAATTGTGTCTCAAGCTATATGCCATATGGATAAAGAGATTTCTCTAAAGCTTTGAAAAGCGCAGGCAAATAGTTGTACCGTCTCAAGTATCTCATACTGTGCGTACACAGTATCTCTTATTTGGTCAACGTTTTTAAAAAATGTTTTCTTTTCGGGAAAGGTCGTCACGCTGGTCTCTCTTAATCTGTGGCTTTACGCATTTCGTGTCGCTGTGTTTTATGTATATTTACGATCTTATCGCCGGGAGATTTTCAATGAATCGTGTTTACCAGCGAGGGGTCATCGAAAAAAAACATGACATGATAGTCGAACCGCGAGTGTAGGCAACTTTAAGAATTATTTCAACAATTTCTTCCATTCACCTCTTTTTAGAATTATAATCTTATTATAAAGCGCAGAAAATAATTTACTTAATATGAATACGTATAAAAAAAGAGATTTATTTATTTCACAACTCCTCGAATTCCAGAAATTCTATTAAAAGTAATTTAATATCCGATAAGTTTATTCAATTAACTCAAATAAGTTTGCCAAGTGTATTCGCAATTTATATGCGGAATACGAGATTAATTGGAACATAATAACCAATTGATATTTTTAATTAATTGAGATAACATAAATTAAGTTCATTTAAAATATTGACGGTGCAGGTCAGTGGTTCTCAAATCGTCCTCCACGAGCCCGATAAGTATCAGTGTATCGTCGTTTAAAATAAACGTAACAACACGACAGTCTCGTGTTAATTAGTAAAATCTCGGTGGCGTATATATATACTTTAATTACGGAAAACACGTACGCAATTAGTGTCGTGTGCAGAAGAGTTTCATAATTGGGCGAGTAAGAGTCACTGGCGGAGATAAACGGAGCGGGTGGCCATAAAGTCGCTAATATGAACCGATCAAAAGAGAAAAGAACATTGTATGTACTCGTACCGAAATAAGTGATTCAAGTCAAATGGATCGGCTATTATTTTCCAAGCAACTGGATACTCTGGTCGGCAAATGATGCTAGAGACATTCTGGCTTTCGAACTCGGCCACTCGCGCGGTTTAATCGCGGTTAGAGTTTAACCGACGTTGTCCGTGCAATGCAACCGGCCTTTGGAACGCGCGCGCTTCGGCGATATCGGCGACTGATAGCACGATCTCGCTCTCCTCGCGCGAGCAACGCGAACGTGCTCCTGTCCCGCGGTTCGCGTTGCATCGCATCGCGTCGCGTCTCGTCGCGTCTCGTCGCGTCGTAATGCGTGTACCGACCATTTCTTCGCAGCGTGTAACGGTATTCACGACGCAGGCTCTTCTCGCGTGAACGAGCAGCGAGAGATGAAAATCCACTTGCTGGGTGCGCGAGACTGCGAGTTCTCTTCGCGAAAGGGAGTCAGAGATAGAACGGCTTTAACACAAAACACAATAATGCGTTATTATTTTCCTATTCAAGTGCTCGTACGAAATTTCTCTGGCTTTATAAACTTGCTCGGAAACGTCGAAAAGTGAATGTGGACCGAGTATACAATTTATATAGAGTTGTAACGGAATTCAAAATGGAATGTAAATATAATTGTACAGATACTAAAAAGGTATTAGTGATGTAATGAAGTTTTAACAAATTTGTAATTAACGTATTTGAAAATATGTCAAGAGTTACCTTGGTCAAGATAACGAAGATAAAGCGTTTAAAGCTGATTGTAATCGGAGATAACACGAATGCGTTCCGAACGTTCTGAAGATAGATAAGTCGTTCGTGAGAGCTCGTTGATAAGAGATATCGTAAATCGCTCGCGTGGCGAATACTTATTTTTCCGCTATTGACATAAATTTGCATCGTAATGATGAACTGTGACCTTGTGAGGTATATCGCCGACACGCGCGCCGTAATGCGTACCTCCATTGCCTTTTATCTATAAATGAAAAATAATATTTTCTTCTATATAATTTCAAAATGTTGCACTGTACGATTAGATTAGAAGTGTCCCATTTACTACATTTTTTTTAAAAGAAACGATGTCGTCTTTTTTTGCGGTGAGAAGGGTCGTCACGCTTGTCCCTCTTAATCTATGGTTTTACACACATTTTTGTGTTTTTTACGTGTATTTACAATCTTATCGTTGGGAGATCGTTTTAATAAATCTCGTTTACTAGCGAGGGGTTATAAAAAAAAAAAAAACATTGGTCTAATTTCCAACTCTCAATTTGGTTCCACTTCGGTGCGGATCAATTTAGAATATTGTTTTCATTGGATGGAGTGACTTTGTGAATCGAAGCGGCATGAAATGAGCGCTTTTCCGACTTAAATTTGATCCTAGACTTAAATTCTTAATGTCAAAGTAAATCAAATTTGAATTATTTTTAATCAGTTCTGTGAGTCGCCACTGCTCTTATTCAATATGTCGTTAATTTAACAAAAATACTGGAGTAAAACTCAATAAATGTATCAATTTCGACTTGAATCTACTTTATTATTTATTAAATGTATACATTATCATAAACATTGTTTATTTGTAAATTAACCACAGATATGAATTGATTTACATTTTGATATACATGGAAGTTAAAAATAAAATATTATTTTACTCAAGAGATTAGATTACCATTCTTTCGATATCTAACATCGTTGCATTAAGTACGGTAATTAGACTACTGTACGATTTTTCGAAAGGGAATAATCCTGCTTTAACCACAGATATGAATTGATTTACATTTTGTTATACACGGAAGTTAAAAATAAAATATTATTTTATTCAAGAGATTGGATTACCATCGTTGTTCCTTTGATATCTAACATTGCCGTATTAGGTATGGAAACTAGAAGAATTTTTCCAGAGAGCCAAATAGATCCCGTAAACTTAAATGGTGTAGAAATAAAAATGATAAATATATTTCGTCCTCTTCCCGGTTTGTTTAAAGAACTGGGTGTCCCGTAACGACGAATGATTCTCGACGGTAAAGCTCATCGGTGCATACGTCGCTGGGAGTGGCCCTTGAGAGTTTTATTCCCTCGCGAGCAATCCTCGACAGTAAAATTTCCGGCGTACATTGAGAGCGACACTTAATGAGTGCCCAATTGAGAGTTTCATTCTCTCCGCGAGTGATCCTCGATAACAAAACTCTCGAGTATGCACTTTGCCTTAGACGCGAGACTCTTCTTTCGCTCTAAATTCGCCGAGCCGCTTTCCTGCATTCCCTGTTTTGATCGAGTTAATCGAATGATTAGCAGTTTTTCACGTCTTCTACATAGTATCGCTAACCACGTGATAACAGGATATTAAACCTCAATTATTAATACGGTAACGTAATAATTTTTTTTTATTCACAGAGAACGTCTCATTACGTGCAATTAAAGATGAGTGATTACTTTAATTTTAAACATGATTTATTCTTTCCTAAAGCAAAAACAATCTTTTTTTTTTTTTTTTCAAGCAGAAACATAATTATAGAACTAGATTTTGTTTCAAAAAAAGCTTACTCGGTAACTATCGTTATCACTGAAAGAAACGAAAATAAATATCCGATGAATTCACGTTGGTCCTGTATCAAGTTTATCTCGCCATGGGATTTTTTATTCGCGGATTCGCGGAGTAAAAGTGGTGAAAAGGACACATCGATGCGTTCTGCTTCCGCAACATTACGAGGTGTTACCAAAGAAACCCGTCCGAGGTGAAAGTTATTTTGTTAATCGCGTCCCGAGCCCCGCGTCGTGATTTATGCGTCGTCGCTCGAGATTATTTCTTTTCGGCGAGAACGGTAAAAACTTGGCGCGACGCATCGCACATTAAATCTGCAAATTAACCCGAAGACATGCCGCGTAATTACGCGCGCGGACGCCTTTATCGTGATTTATCGCGGCCGGGAAGTTAATCGGTTACGTTTTATTATTTGCGAAGTCTCGTTAAGCGCGACACCGTCATCCGTTTCTTTGTCAAAACACTGGTAATACTTGGTTGAATTTAATTTTCGGTTATACCGGATGGGA